CCTTAAAACTACATTGCCATTGACACTTGCTGTAAGAAAATGCTACCAGCTGAGTAGGCTACAAGCAATAGCCGTCATTTCACCGTCTCGGTTAACTATAGTCCGGCTATGTGTAACCCACTTCTAGCCCAAATAACCTTGAATTTGGTTACATGTCGTTTTTTGGCAAAATAACTTGTGAGATGTATGATATTCCATCATGTAAGCAAAGTCAACAGTGTTTACAAGGTGTTTGGTTTCATTTCTTTGGCATGTTCAATACTTAGCATTATTTTATATTTTATTTAATTATTTTACAGCATTATTAAATATACCATTATTTATTATGCCAAAAATAATGCTAATTTAAAAGTTTCAAAAGTTTACTTGCATTTGATATGATTTCATGCATCCCACAAGCTGTTAAATGTTACATTCATACACATTATACGATATTATTGATATTCGGCATTTATATTTATACATATATATTATTGATATTTTCATTTATACATAAAAATGCAATTACAATTCCCAACCGCTAGATTGCAATTGTAGCCCTACTGAGACATGACTACTGGCAACGCGAGACGTGAACGTTAGTAGAGATCACTGTTGTGTTTTGAATTTTGTTTTTACACGAGAGAGCACTAGCTTAATAACGACTCTAAACAACGACGGTCAAAACAATGTTCCAAATGCCAGAAGCCATTGTTCAGAAAATATGCATTTTACCTGATTATTGTTTTATTCACATCCGTCCTGTAAAAAGGTCTATTAAAAAAATTATAAAATTACTATAAAATGTCATATATTAAATAAAAATGCATATTTCTGACGTTTTAATACATTTTAAATTGTTTTAATATTTTTATGTAAAAAAAGACAAATTCAGTATTTTTGGTAGATTTAATAAATGTAATAATTAATCCACTGTTTACTTTCAATTTCAGCCTGAGCAACGTACAAAAAGGTTTTTTTTCTCTTTTTTTTTTGGGGAAAAAGTTTTCAAGTCCACATACAAACGCCTCTCCGTGCACAAATCCAAGGGCTGCACATCACGGTTCAAAAGATGTGCCAAATGCGTTTCGAGCCTTCAGTTAAGAAAATAATTATAATCAAACTTAATCAAGCTAACGACAAATTCATATTACACCATAAAGTGACATAAATCCTAATTAAACAACATACTAATCATTAATGTCAATGTGATGTCAATATGACATCAAATGGACGTTTAAAACTTGACGTTGATTTGACGTAAACTGAACGTCATACATATTGGCCTACAAATATATTAAACCAATTTCAGTGTGGGATAACTTCCTATTTTTACCCAATTAACCACCGGAAGAAATTGCCATCGAAGCTGAATTTAAAATGATTCAATACAGAATCTTGATCAAATCTTGACCAATATTTGACATCAAGGTGCCCGCTGGGTAAGTTTACCTGGCGGAGAGCAGTGGGCAAACGATAAAAGACATTCCTACTTGGTCTTGTAAGTATCTGTGTTTTCGTTTTGACGTGTTCATTATTTATCTATATTATTTGTTATGTTTAGGAACCGTGACATTTTAGTGAAGGGAGCAGATCGTAGTTGATAGTGATCCATGACTAGGCCCACGGTTCAGCACGCATGTGTTCAGAGGATTAATTGCAAAATGTAATAGAGTAAAAGTTTTATCATTTGTATGTGTTTACAAACTCAAT